CCATGTTTTTCCTTTATTTTCAGATATAAAACGGTTTTGAAAAAACTACAAGAGATAGAAAACAGGATTGTATGGCAACTTTGTTCTACTCATCAAGACCTATAAACTCAGCAATTATGGCTTAAATCGCACATTCCAATCAAAAGTTATTGGCCGTCTTACCTTCTTGTCTCACCATTTTCATCCGTTACCATGTTTTTCCTTTATTTTCAAATATAAGACGGTTTTGAAAAAACTACAAGAGATAGAAAGAAGGATTGTATGGCAACTTTGTTTTACTCATCAAGACCTATAAACTCAGCAATTATGGCTTAAATCGCACATTCCAATCAAAAGTTATTGGCCGTCTTACCTACTTGTCTTACCATTTTCATCCGTTACCATGTTTTTCCTTTATTTTCAGATATAAGACGGTTTTGAAAAAACTACAAGAGATAGAAAGAAGGATTTTATGGCAACTTTGTTCTACTCATCAAGACCTATTAACTCAGCAATTATGGCTTAAATCGCACATTCCAATCAAAAGTTATTGGCCGTCTTACCTACTTGTCTTTTCATATTCATCCATTACCATGTTTTTCCTTTATTTTCAGATATAAGACGGTTTTGAAAAAACTACAAGAGATAAAAAGAAAAATTGTATGGCAACTTTGTTCTACTCATCAAGACCTATAAACTCAGAAAGAATGGATTAAATCGGACATTCCAATCAAAAGTTATTGGCCGTCTTAGCTACTTGACTTTTAATTTTCATCCGTTACCATGTTTTTCCTTTATTTTCAGATATAAGACGGTTTTGAAAAAACTACAAGAGATAGAAAAAAGGATTGTATGGCAACTTTGTTCTACTCATCAAGACCTATAAACTCAGCAATTATGGCTTAAATCGCACATTCCAATCAAAAGTTATTGGCCGTCTTACCTACTTGTCTTTCCATTTTCATCAGTTACCATGTTTTTCCTTTATTTTCAGATATAAGACGGTTTTGAAAAAACTACAAGAGATAGAAAACAGGATTGTATGGCAACTTTGTTCTACTCATCAAGACCTATAAACTCAGCAATTATGGCTTAAATCGCACATTCCAATCAAAAGTTATTGGCCGTCTTACCTTCTTGTCTCACCATTTTCATCCGTTACCATGTTTTTCCTTTATTTTCAAATATAAGACGGTTTTGAAAAAACTACAAGAGATAGAAAGAAGGATTGTATGGCAACTTTGTTTTACTCATCAAGACCTATAAACTCAGAAAGTATGGCTTAAATCGGACATTCCAATCAAAAGTTATTGGTCGTCTTAGCTACTTGACTTTTAATTTTCATCCGTTTCCATGTCTTTCCTTTATTTTCAGATATAAGACGGATTTGAAAAAACTACAAGAGATAGAAAGAAGGATTTTATGGCAACTTTGTTCTACTCATCGAGACCTATAAACTCAGCAATTATGGCTTAAATCGCACATTCAAATCAAAAGTTATTGGCCGTCTTACCTACTTGTCCCACCATTTTTATCAGTTACCATGTTTTTCCTTTATTTTCAGATATAAGACGGTTTTGAAAAAACTACAAGAGATAGAAAGAAGGATTGTATGGCAACTTTGTTCTACTCATCAAGACCTATAAACTCAGCAATTATGGCTTAAATCGGACATTCCAATCAAAAGTTATTGGCCGTCTTACCTACTTGTCTTTTCATTTTCATCCCTTACCATGTTTTTCCTTTATTTTCAGATATAAGACGGTTTTCAAAAAACTACAAGAGAGAGAAATAAGGATTGTATGGCAACTTTGTTCTACTCATCAAGACCTATAAACTCAGAAAGTATGGCTTAAATCGGACATTCCAATCAAAAGTTATTGGCCGTCTTACCTACTTGTCTTACCATTTTCATCCGTTACCATGTTTTTCCTTTATTTTCAGATATAAGACGGTTTTGAAAAAACTACAAGAGATAGAAAGAAGGATTTTATGGCAACTTTGTTCTACTCATCAAGACCTATAAACTCAGCAATTATGGCTTAAATCGCACATTCCAATCAAAAGTTATTGGCCGTCTTACCTACTTGTCTTACCATTTTCATTAGTTACCATGTTTTTCCTTTATTTTCAGATATAAGACAGTTTTGAAAAAACTACAAGAGATAGAAAGAAGGATTGTATGGCAACTTTGTTCTACTCATCAAGACCTATAAACTCAGCAATTATGGCTTAAATCGCACATTCCAATCAAAAGTTTTTGGCCGTCTTACCTACTTGTCTTTTCATTTTCATCCGTTACCATGTTTTTCCATTATTTTCAGATATAAGACGGTTTTGAAAAAACTACAAGAGATAGAAAGAAGGATTGTATGGCAACTTTGTTCTACTCATCAAGAGCTACAAACTCAGAAAGTATGGCTTAAATCGCACATTCCAATCAAAAGTTATTGGCCGTCTTACCTACTTGTCCCACCATTTTCATCCGTTACCATGTTTTTTCTTTATTTTCAGATATAAGACGGTTTTGAAAAAACTACAAGAGATAGAGAGAAGGATTTTATGGCAACTTTGTTCTACTCATCAAGACCTATAAACTCAGAAAGTATGGCTTAAATCGGACATTCCAATCAAAAGTTATTGGTCGTCTTAGCTACTTGTCCCACCATTTTCATCAGTTACCATGTTTTTCCTTTATTTTCAGATATAAGACGGTTTTGAAAAAACTACAAGAGATAGAAAGAAGGATTGTATGGCAACTTTGTTCTACTCATCAAGACCTATAAACTCAGCAATTATGGCTTAAATCGGACATTCCAATCAAAAGTTATTGGCCGTCTTACCTACTTGTCTTTTCATTTTCATCCCCTACCATGTTTTTTCTTTATTTTCAGATATAAGACGGTTTTCAAAAAACTACAAGAGATAGAAATAAGGATTGTATGGCAACTTTGTTCTACTCATCAAGACCTATAAACTCAGAAAGTATGGCTTAAATCGGACATTCCAATCAAAAGTTATTGGCCGTCTTACCTACTTGTCTTACCATTTTCATCCGTTACCATGTTTTTCCTTTATTTTCAGATATAAGACGGTTTTGAAAAAACTACAAGAGATAGAAAGAAGGATTTTATGGCAACTTTGTTCTACTCATCAAGACCTATAAACTCAGCAATTATGGCTTAAATCGCACATTCCAATCAAAAGTTATTGGCCGTCTTACCTACTTGTCTTACCATTTTCATTAGTTACCATGTTTTTCCTTTATTTTCAGATATAAGACGGTTTTGAAAAAACTACAAGAGATAGAAAGAAGGATTGTATGGCAACTTTGTTCTACTCATCAAGACCTATAAACTCAGCAATTATGGCTTAAATCGCACATTCCAATCAAAAGTTTTTGGCCGTCTTACCTACTTGTCTTTTCATTTTCATCCGTTACCTTGTTTTTCCATTATTTTCAGATATAAGACGGTTTTGAAAAAACTACAAGAGATAGAAAGAAGGATTGTATGGCAACTTTGTTCTACTCATCAAGAGCTACAAACTCAGAAAGTATGGCTTAAATCGCACATTCCAATCAAAAGTTATTGGCCGTCTTACCTACTTGTCCCACCATTTTCCTCCGTTACCATGTTTTTTCTTTATTTTCAGATATAAGACGGTTTTGAAAAAACTACAAGAGATAGAAAGAAGGATTTTATGGCAACTTTGTTCTACTCATCAAGACCTATAAACTCAGCAATTATGGCTTAAATCGCACATTCCAATCAAAAGTTATTGGCCGTCTTAGCTACTTGTCTTTTCATTTTCATCCCTTACCATGTTTTTCCTTTATTTTCAGATAAAAGACGGTTTTCAAAAAACTTCAAGAGATAGAAAGAAGGATTGTATGGCAACTTTGTTCTACTCATCAAGACCTATAAACTCAGCAATTATGGCTTAAATCGCACATTCCAATCAAAAGTTATTGGCCGTCTTAGCTACTTGTCTTTTCATTTTCATCCGTTACCATGTTTTTCCTATATTTTCAGATATAAGACGATTTTGAAAAAACTACAAGAGATAGAAAGAAGGATTGTATGGCAACTTTGTTCTACTCATCAAGACCTATAAACTCAGCAATTATGGCTTAAATCGGACATTCCAATCAAAAGTTATTGGCCGTCTTAGCTACTTGTCTTTTCATTTTCATCCCTTACCATGTTTTTCCTTTATTTTCAGATATAAGACGGTTTTCAAAAAACTTCAAGAGATAGAAAGAAGGATTGTATGGCAACTTTGTTCTACTCATCAAGACCTATAAACTCAGCAATTATGGCTTAAATCGCACATTCCAATCAAAAGTTATTGGCCGCCTTAGCTACTTGTCTTTTCATATTCATCCATTACCATGTTTTTCCTTTATTTTCAGATATAAGACGGTTTTGAAAAAACTACAAGAGATAGAAAGAAGGATTGTATGGCAACTTTGTTCTACTCATCAAGACCTATAAACTCAGAAAGTATGGCTTAAATCGGACATTCCAATCAAAAGTTATTGGCCGTCTTAGCTACTTGACTTACCATTTTCATTAGTTACCATGTTTTTCCTTTATTTTCAGATATAAGACGGTTTTGAAAAAACTACAAGAGATAGAAAGAAGGATTGTATGGCAACTTTGTTCTACTCATCAAGACCTATAAACTCAGCAATTATGGCTTAAATCGCACATTCCAATCAAAAGTTATTGGCCGTCTTTCCTACTTGTCCCACCATTTTCATCCTGATGGTGAATAGATCACGCTAAATGGTTTGTAAGACCACTTTCGAATTGGGTTGATCGAATAATACACAATTATTTCACAATAAGATTGAACGCTTTATTTCATGTCGACCGTTCGTGGTCAGAAACAAGAGAGAGAGAGAGAAAAATAGCAAGACCAGACCATCTCAAGAGGGAAAATCTTACATGCTATAAAATATACCAAATTATTATGATTTGTTATAGGGTTCCTCAACATCCCGGCCCACCCTGAAACTAAGTTTCTGAATTAGGCAGAATGGCAATTTTAGAAATGGGTCTAACAGGTTCTCCTGATGAAGTTCGCAGCTTTACGGCGCGTACCAGCCCGTCCTTGCCTGGATAGACTTCAATTACGCGCGCCAAAGCCCAAGCGGCGGGGGGTGTATTTGAATCCTTGATGATCGCCATATCCCCAGTAGCAACGTTCTTCCTCTCCGTATTCCACTTAGGGCGCTGTTGAAGTGTAGTGAGGTACTCCTGATGCCATCTCTTCCAAAAGCCTTGTAGCATTGCCTGTACATTTTGCCAGTAATCCAGTCGGTTAACTGCTATGTGGCCAAGATCGCCCTCTGGAACTGATGTATAAGGGCGTCCAATCAGCAGGTGTGCGGGTGACAAGTAGGAAACCTCGGTGTCTGACGTAGCGAAGAGAGGGCGTGAATTGACGACGGACTCAATTTGAGCCAGAAGGGTGTGCATCTGCTCAAATGTGAGGATGGAATTCCCGATGACACGACGCAGATGAAGCTTTACGGAGCGAACAGCTGATTCCCATTTTCCGCCCCAGTGGGGTGCGTGCGGTGGTATGAAACTCCATTTGATACCCTCGCTGGCCAACGATTGAGTTACTTGAGTGTTATGCTGCTGTGACAGGATGAGCTTATACATGTCGTCTAACACCTTCTTAGCTCCCACAAAGTTGCGACCGTTGTCGCTGAAGATGTGGGTACACTTGCCTCGACGGGAGATAAAACGACGAAGTGCAGCGAGAAATGTCTCCGTGCTGAGATCTGTAGCCAACTCCAAATGAATTGCGGAGGTCACTAGGCAGACAAATAGGCAGATGTATCCTTTTTCCTTTCGTGGATTCCTTCCCTTGTGCACCTTGAGCAGAAGCGGTCCGGCATAGTCGCACCCAGTATTTTCAAATGGATATGCTTGACGTACCCGAACAGCTGGCAAGTCCGCCATGTATTGATCAGCTGTTTTGTGGCGTTGGCGAAAACATTTGTGACAAGAATGTGTAAGCTTGCGAATCATGTTGCGTGCGCCAACTATCCAATATTGTTGCCGAACGATGACGAAAAGTGCTGTCACACCTGGATGAAGATGTATCCTGTGCTCGTGCTCCAAAATAAGCAGAGAAATGCGATGACCTTTTGGCAGAATAATTGGATGCTTGACTTCCTCCGGTAGTAGCGAGTTTGAGAGGCGTCCACCTACACGAAGCAGGCCGTTCTTGCAAACCATGGGTGAAAGTGTTCGAAGTGTTGACGAATTTGCAACAGCTTTTCCCCTTTTCAACAGGTGTATATCGGATGAGAAGCCTTCTTGAGCGTGCCTGAGACAATAAATGCGGGCCTCGCTGATTTCCTCAAACGTGAGTGTGAGGCTTGACGGAATCCGCTTCTTCATTCTGCTTCGATTCATAAAGCGAAGAACATAAGCAGTGCAGCGAATCAGCTTGGTCCAGGAAGAAACTCGAAGCGATAGACACTCAATCGGGGACGCTTCAGGTTTAGATTCAATACGGCTGCATAGTGAAGAGGATTTCAGCCCTTCCATTATGGGCGTGTCCAAAATTGTGTTGGGATTGTTGCCACTACGAAGCTTTGAAGCAAGCAGATCGTTATGGTGTAGCCAATGTGGACCCTTCCACCACAGCTCATAGCTCATGAGATTGGCTGCTAGCATTCCCCTCGATGCGCAATCGGCAGGGTTATCCTTTGAGCCAACGTGATGCCATGCGCTGCGTGGTATGACATCCAGGATCTCCGAAGTACGGTTGGCAATAAAGGTTTTCAGCTTTGATGGGGTGTGCGACAGCCACGAAAGGACAATCGTGGAATCGCACCAAGCATGCACAATTATGTCCTTGTGCTGTAAGCCCTCCTTAACAGCTCGGAGAAGGCGAGTGAGCAATAGCGCTCCACAGAGTTCCAGCCGAGGAAGACTTTGTTGCTTTAGTGGCGCAACCCGTGTTTTGGCTGCCATAAGTGACACCAAGCAGGTGCCGTCTGCGTTGCTTACACGGCTGTATACGACAGCGGCATATGCCTTTATAGACGCGTCTGAAAATCCATGTAATTCGATTTTTCCCGATTCGCTGGGTACAAAACGTGGAATCCTTTGGTTTGTTATGCAGTTAATATCGTCGCGACAGGTCTGCCACCACTCAGCCAGCTTCGGTGGGAGCTTTGAATCCCAGTCCAGGTCAAGTAGCCAAAGTTCTTGGAAAAGGATTTTGAACTGTACTACCACAGGCGCCAGAATACCTAGAGGATCGAAAATTCGTGAGACATCTGACAATACTTGCCGTTTAGTAGCTTCTGGTTCCGTGGAAAGTGAAGTCTTGTAGGACAGGACGTCGTCTTGGGGATTCCAATGCATTCCTAAAACCTTCACCGCACTGGTTATTGGGAGCTCCTCTTGTATGGTGTGGCTGAGGCGGCTGCTGTTGGACACCCATTTGCCAAGCTCAAGCTTAGCCTTGGACATCAGCTGGATGAGTTCGTCGCGGCGGCTAAGTAATTCGTCTCCAGTTTCTGCGCCAGTAAGGACATCGTCTACGTAAAAGTCCTCAAGCACAATTTTTGATGCTGTGGGAAACTCATCCTGGTGGTCTCGCGCTAGTTGTTCCAGTACCCTGACAGCAAGAAACGGTGCACAGCTTGTTCCATAGGTAACTGTGCAGAGTTGAAAGTGTTGAAGAGGATCATTCGGAGCATCTCTCCATACGATCCGTTGAAAGTTGCGGTGCTTAGGGGCAACCCAGATCTGGCGAAACATTTTGACTATGTCCGCCGAAAACACAAACTTGTGCATTCGAAAGCGAAGGCATACGTGAAAAAGGTTACGTTGAATGCTGGGCCCAATGTGTAAGGCATCATTTAGAGCGTGGCCGTTTACGTCTTCAAATGACCCGTCAAATACCACGCGCAGCTTCTTTCCTAGAACTGGGTGGTGTGGCATGTAAAACGTTTTGCCTGATGTATTGCATTCTTCTGGGGCCAGCTTACGCATATGACCTAGGCTTAGATATTCGTTCATAAATTTTGAATATTGCTTGCGTAGCTCCATATCACGCTGTAGGCGACGTTCCACAGCATAGAAGCGTGAGACAGCGCCCTGCAGGCTGTCTCCAACTCTTGGCTTTCGTGGTTTGAATTCAACGGTGTATTTGCCGTCTGGGTCTCGGGAATGTGTGGTCAAAAAGTGCTGCTCCACCTTTTCGTGCGAAGGGTCTTGTTGTTTGTGGTCAGTGTTATCCTCGATCTCCCAAAAGCGTTGAAGAGAGGCGTTTATGTCAACAGTAGTCACGAGCGTGTTGGCGGTTAATGGATGCGGCATTGCAACGGAAGTGATTATCCATCCAAAGATCGAGCTGATGGCAATAATATTTCCATCGGCGTCATATTTTTTATCACCTGACAGAACGGACCAAATTTGTTCATTTCCCAGTAAAATGTCTACTGGTGAAGATGTGTTAAAGGATGTATCGGCTAACTGGAGTCCATCGTAGATCCTTAAAGCTGTTTCGTCAATGTCGTCCCGTTGAAGTGATGATGTGATTTTGCCCAGCACATGGGCTGCGACAACAATCGTATGCAGTGACACCATTGATTTGATATGCAGCGTTGCCAATCCTCTAGTAGTTTCGGCCTTGACGGAAGATATTCCGGAAACTAGTATTCTTGAGGGTGAACGTGCGAGCCCAAGTGCGTTGACGCATCGTTCAGAAACGTATGACAGCTCAGAACCGCTATCCAAAAGCACACGGCAAATTGTGTAAGAACCTTTAGTGTTTTGGACATACACCAAAGCTGTGGGCAATGTGCTTCTTTTGATCACGGTGACTGTGCTAATGATGTGCTGTTTTGCGTCTGGGCGACCAAAGTTGAGCTACATCCAGAAGTTTGAGAACTGGCCTGTGCAGTGTCCGCAGAAGCAATTGTCATGGAATCCATGTTTTCAGGGTGTACAAGAGAGTAATGACGGCCATTGCAGTGCTTGCACGAATGTTTCGATTTACATTGCGAAGATCGGTGGCCAGGGCGTAGGCAATTGAAGCAAAGCGACTTTCCTTTCTCAAAGGAGCGCCGATGTTCGATGTTCAGATTTTGAAATTGAGAGCATCTATATAGCTGATGGTCAGCAGAGCCACACTTACCACAATTGCCACTGCTCACTGCAATAAGTGCGCGCTTTGTTTTGGCAGGCTTGTCTGTGTGGCTGCCAGGATCGAGTTTGATTGCCGATGTAGCTTGGCTTAATTCAAAATCCTCGCAACGATCATCAAGGAATTTAAACAAGTCTGTAACAGTTGGCGTCGCAGCGCCTCTGGTGTCCTCTATCCACTTGCTTCTAGAGTCGGAATCAATTTTAGCCAGTACAAGATGAATCACCCAGCAGTCACGGCTGGTCTCCCCAACTGCATCTAGCCCACGAATGATTTTAATGGCGCCATCAGTAAGTTTGCGTAGATTAGATACTTCGCCGTTGGGGGCAGCAACCAGTTCCATGAAGGTGTCCAGTAAGGAGTTCACGATATGCCTTGGGCGGTTATAGCGTTCATTGAGGCGTTCCCATGCTGAATCATAAGCTGATTCCGTAATGGACATGTGACTAAGAAGATTGGCTGCTTCACCAACTATGAAAGATTTAAGGTAGTGAAACTTTTGAATCTTTCCCAGATGAGTCTTGTTGTGGACGGTGCTCTCGTAAATATCCTTAAAGGCTGGCCATTCCTTGTAGTCTCCACCAAAGGGTTTTATGTGGATTTTCGGCAACGGATTTTCAGTTAAAGAAACTGCAGCAGGCGGCGGCGTGGCCAAGGTAGATGTTCCGTTCTCAGAAAGTCGCTGAAGGAACTCACTTTGCTGTTGCAGCAATGTGGCCATGTTGTGATCCGCTTGCGGTATGGCGCTTGGCTGAAGGTCGCTCTTTAACGACGCGAATAAGGTAAGCGCGTGCAAGTACTTCTCCTCATACGTTTGGAAGTCTTCGGTAGGATCCTCGAAACCCTCAACATTATCGTACAAGTGCATTTCGTCGGTGACCTCCTCAAGGCTCTTGAATGCTTGATTTAGCCGTTCCAGCATGGCATCGACTCCGGAGTAAGTGCTCTGTGGAGGTGGATTCTCGATGTAATTCACCAAGCGAGTTATGGTAGCCTTTAGCCGACCACGTGCTTGGATAAGACGTTTAAGCGTCTGTTGCTCCATGGTGTGCAGATTCAATTATAAAGATGCGGAAGTATTCCGGCTCTCGAAGGACCAGACAATGATGGTGAATAGATCACGCTAAATGGTTTGTAAGACCACTTTCGAATTGGGTTGATCGAATAATACACAATTATTTCACAATAAGATTGAACGCTTTATTTCATGTCGACCGTTCGTGGTAAAAAAAAAAAAAAAAAAAAAAAAAAAAAAAAAAAACAATTAAAAAAGAAAAATTTTTATTTTTTTAAAAATTTCAAAATTTTTTTTTTTTTTTTTTGGGTTCCTCAACACATCCGTTACCATGTTTTTCCATTATTTTCAGATATAACGAACGTTAAAAACAAGAGAGAAAGAGAGAGTAGCAACTTTGAACAACCAAACTAAATAGGCTTAAGACCAGACCATAATTTTTTTTTTTTTTTTTTTTTTTTTTTTTAATAAAATTAAAACTACAAGAGGGAATAGAAAAATCTTACAACTTTGTTCTATAAAGAATATACCAAATAGTATGGCTTAAATCGGACATTGCAATAAAAAGGTATTGGCCGTCTTAGGTAGGTAGGTAGGTAGAAGTGGTGAGGTCCTCTCTGAGAGCCTCCAAGTAGAGCTGAGCTCCGTTTTGATCCACACCCTCGTAAATTGTTGTCTCCGCGTTCTCTTCAGTACCAGCCTGCATCATTTAGAAAACCTAGGATTGCAGTTATCCTCTGCTTTCCTATTTCTCCCAATGATTCCAGCTGATACGCCCCGAAGTATCTCGCCCTGATATGGTTTAGTGCTGGGCAATGACACATCATGTGCTCAGGTGTCTCCTGTGTGTCTGTTTCTTTGCAGCTCCTGCAATTAGCATTGTACGGAAGCCCCATCTTCATGGCTTGCGTGCCAATGGCCCAATGGCCTGTGATGAGTGCCGTGATCCTTCTAATATCCCTTTTGCTTTTGGATATTAGTTCTCGAGTTCTCTTGCTATTGATGGTTGGCCAGCAGAGCTTTGATCTCCTGAGACCCTGCTTTTCTGACCAACTTTTACTAACTAGTGTTTTGTAGTGTTCGTGAATCCTTGCTTGGACTGTATTAAGGGATTCAGGTAGACTAGTTGTATAGGAGTCGTCTGCCGACCCCTTTCGTGCAAGTTCATCCGCCTTTTCGTTTCCTGGTATATCATTGTGCCCTGGCACCCATGTTATCTGTACATGGTTGTTTGTTGCTAGTATGTTGAGGGCCGACTTGCAATCGGCTACTAGTGTCGAGTTGGTTCTTGCTGCTGCGAGAGATTTGATAGCCGCTTGGCTATCCGAGTATATCCGTACCTTGGTATTCCTGAGGCATTGCTGAATCGAAAGCTTGGCTGCTTCCAAAATAGCGAGTACCTCAGCCTGAAAAACTGTCGCTGATTCTGGGAGGTGGAATTTCGATTCTATCCCCCAGCTTTCAGCGAAAATTCCAGCCCCTACACCACAGTCCATCTTGGAGCCGTCAGTGTAGAGTGATACCTCATCTTGTCCGGTTACTCTGTCATTCTCCCAGTCTTCCCTCGTTGGAAAGGTAGTCGTAAATCCGTTTCCAAATCTTATCTCCGCTGTCATATAATCCGTCTTGTTCTTTGCCAGATAGTTGTTGTCCTCTAAGATACGGCAGTGCCCTGTGTGGTAGCCTTTCCAGCAATTACTTGCCTTCAGTCTGGCCGCACTCTGCGCTGCCGTATCCTTTATGAAAAGTTCTATCGGCATTATATCCAGAATAGTGTTCAACGCGGCAGCCGGGCATGATCTTAATGCCCCTGTAGCTCCTGCGCAAGCTGATCTTTGTATTCTTGTCAGCTTGGCAATATTGTATGCTCTTGTCAGGGCTGGCCACCAGACTAGTGCCCCGTATGTGAGAATTGGCCTTACCACTGCTGTATAAAGCCATAATATTATCTTAGGGTGTATACCCCAGTTTTTGCCAAACATTTTCCTGCACGAGTAGAATGCTATGCTGGCCTTTCTTACTCGTTCCGTGATGTTCAGTTTCCACGAGAGCTTCGGGTCTAGTATCACTCCTAGATACTTAGCCTTATCCGATAGCTCGAGTTCGATTCCATCTATTTTTGGTTTGCTGTATGTTGGGATCTTTGTTCTTCGCGTGAAGAGCATCAGTTCGGTTTCACTCGGGTTTATACCTAGTCCGCAGGTTTTTGCCCATTCATTTAGTCGGTTAAGGGCCCCCGTCATTATATTACTAATGCCATCTGGGAATGGTCCTGATACTAGCAACACTACGTCGTCTGCGTAGGCTACTACTTTTACTCCTCCGCTATTGAGTTCTCTCAATATGTCGTTCATGTTGATGAGCCAGAGCAGTGGCGATAGAACCCCGCCCTGAGCTGCTCGTGAGCATAACTCCGATCCAAGCTCTGATGTCTCCTTCAACGCCGATCGAGTTGAGGGAGCTCAGTATGGATTCGGCGTTCACATTATTGAACGCACCTTCTATATCTAAGAAGGTGGCCATTGTATATTGGTTAAAATGTAGCGATTTTTCTATGTGGCAAACTACTTCGTGTAGTGCCGTTTCTGTCGATCTGCCCTTTCGGTACGCATGCTGAGCGTCCGATAGATGCTGCTTCTCGGTGTTTTCCCGGATATGAATATCGATCATTCGTTCCAGCGTTTTCATTAGGAATGAGGTAAGGCTGATCGGCCTGTAATCCTTTGCTAGGATATGTCCTCTTCTTCCTGGTTTTGGTATAAATACAACTTTGGCTTCCTTCCATAGAAGCGGTATGTGTGTTAGTCTGATGCAAGCCGTGTAAATGGCTTGCAGCCACCTACTGATGCTGACCTGTGTTGCTTGAAGCATTGCCGGGAAAATGCCGTCTGGCCCCGGACTCTTATATTTGTCGAAGGAGTTTATCGCCCAGTTGATTCTTTCAATGGTTATGATATCCCTTGTGTGTGTTGGTTGATGAGCCCTCTGACCTTCAGTAGGTGCTGGCTTTACTCGAAGGTTGCCTGGAAAGTGTGTATCCACTAGTGTCTCTAGGGATTCTTCCACCGTTGTAGTCGCTGATCCGTCTTGTTTGTGTAGTAGAGTTGGGCTGTTATACCCTTTAGCAAGGACCTTGCTTAGTCTAGCCGAGTCTTTTATACCTTCTAGCGATTCGCAGTAAGTCCTCCAAGAGTCTTTCTTGGCTGCGTATATCGCTTTTTTGTATGCTTTTTGTGCTTCTTTGTATGGCTCCCATTCCTTGGTAGCATAGCTGGAGTTATAGGCTTTTCTTGCCCTCTTTCTTAGAGTGCCTAGCTCTTTGGTCCACCATAAAGGGTGTTGTTTCTTAGAGTATGAAACCTTGCATGTTTCCTTATATGCATTGTTTAGAATGTTTGTTAGGTCCTCTACTTCCTTGTCCAGGGTCGTCGTAGAGGTTTGTACCCGTATTCTTCTGTTGCTAACTTTCGAGTAGACAATCTTACCGAATTTGTCCCAGTTTGTTCTACGGGGGTTACGTTTCGGTTCCGGTTTGCTAATCGGAATCGAAATTTCGAAGAAAATGTACCTGTGATCTGAAAAGGAATTTTGTTTCGACACTATCCACTTTTCAACCTTATATCTACTAAATTCTGTCTGTAAAGTGAGGTCTAACACCTCTTCCCATCCCTGAAATTCCCTTGTGCTTGGGAATATAAAGGTGGGTGTGTTACCTCTGTTACATATGGTGATGTTGCGGCAGATAATATTATCAAAAAGAGACTCACCCCTTTCGTTGGTTTCCGAGCTTCCCCATAGTGCGTGCCTCGCGTTAGCGTCGCATCCGAGCACCAGGGTCGTCTTAGTATCTTCCGCCCATTGCAGCAGCTTGATGACTGGCTCAGGTGGAGCCGGTTCATCATGGGCCATGTAGGATGAGGCTATCACCATCGATGTCCCATCCGCCGCCACGAATCTGGCAACTGCTAGATCCGGTGTGCTAAGATTGGGGCATAGAAGTGCGTTATAGTTATTCTTTATAATAATACCTGCTCTCGGCCTACCTGTCGAGTTAGTATAAAAGAGTTTATATCCTTGTTGAGTTAGACCCGAGATTTGTCTGTCTCGCGTCCATGGTTCTTGAACGATGCCTATGTCAATGTTCCTCTCACTGAGAAGAACTGCAAGATTGGCTGAAGCATGCATGCTGCGCTTCAGGTTAATCTGCACGACTTTAGGCATCGGTGTTGGGTGTTATGTCTGGGGTCTTGTCGTCGATGACCAGGTCATCCAACAGCTTGTTGGTGTCATCGACCTCCTCGAGAACATCATCCGGCTCTGCCAGGAAGACCTTGATCTTGGCCTTCCGTAGGCCGTACCGGATGGTGTAGTCGGCCTTCTCAAGCTGCGGCAGGCAGCGCTGGTTGATGAGGAAGAGGAACGGCTGGCTCGTCTTCATCTCCTTCTCTACTTTGAGTATTGCCCAGTCCTCAGTATGCACTTCTGGGTTCTGAGCCCTCAGCAGCGACAGCACCTTTCCTTGGTCAGTCTGCCCCTTTGGCAACCAAATGCGAGCCCGCGGCCTCCTTGGAATCTCCCTGGCGTGGACGAGCCTAATGCTAAGGCCGTCCCATGCATTTCCAATCTTGGATATGCATTCCGCCAGGAAGGTCCTCGAGAACGAGTCATCGCACTTGATCACCCGGTGCCCTCTGACCATGTCCGACGAGTCGAAGGAGGGGATCGGACCGTCTGGTACGGCTGATAGCCTTTCAGCTAGCATGTCGGCCACCTTGATCTCGATCTCCTCCCACTTCTCCGACAGCAGGCGTCCGTCGTCGTGCAGGTCGTCCACCAGTGCCATCGCGAGGCTGTCTCTGGCTACGTCGCTGAATTTCTTGGCCTTCTTCACAAAGGAGGTCGGTATTGGCCTCCCCTGTGCGTCCTTTGCCCGTTTCGGTGCGCTCACGCTTGCCTCATGCGAGCGGTCCCTTTTTGTGTTTGTTACAGTGGCCTCCGGGCGCGTCCTCAAGTATTCTTCGAATTCTGCG